GGCGGCGCTCTGCCGCCGCCGCCGGACGTTGCCGCCGTTGCCTAGCGAGGGGCCGCAAACAACGGGCAGGGACCGGCGCGGCCTGCCCGGCAGCCGGGGGAGGGCCGGGAGCCGTAGCGGGGCTCGGCACCCCCCCACACCCTCCCTCCTCCTCCTCAGCCCCGGCGCCTGGATTCCGCGTCCCCGGGCGGCTCCCGAGACGTAGGAGCGACTCCGCTGCCGGCGCCTGTCAGGTTTGGAGTAGGAGGTGCGCTGCGAGACACGGCGAGCCTGGGGGATGCTCCCGGAACGCCTCTACCGGCAAAACAGCCTCCCGGGGCGTTCGCCCACGCCCCCTGCCCGCCCCCGCCCAGTGTTTGGGTGCCCGGGGCGCCTGCCCGCCTCACGGCCCCACACCTCTTCCCGAACGGTGAACGGGACCCCCCCCTTCCCGCCTTCCCTGCCCTCACACCCACAGCGGCTTGGTTCATTTTTTTTTTAATTTATTTATCTTTTTTTAATACAGTTTCAAAAGGGAAGGGGGTGGGGGGATGTCGGCAACTTAAAGCAGTGCTTGCTAAGGGATAAAAATAACGCGCCCGCACGAATAAACGGGGAAATGGCTCAAAATGTGTTTTGACTCTGTAGTCAGTAAGCTCACGTAGCGGTTTCTGCTTGCCGTGTCCTTCCCGACACCAGTCCTGATCTCAGTCTCACGCTTCGCGTGTTTGGTTCTAGTTCTGCTCCGTTAACAAGATGGGGCTTTTCTGTTTTTTCACCTTGGGATAGTTTCCCGGCTCTGGGTGGCTGAGTTCTCAAACTAAATGGAATAAAATGAGATGCAAAACCTCTTCTCTTTGCAACCACGAGACAGCAATTGTTTAAAGCTGCTTGTTTTCAACAAGCTTGAATTCTGGGGGCTTGGCTGATGGGTTCTGCCAGTGTGGTAATTAAGTTTTCTTAAAGGCAATGTGTGGGAGTTAGCAAGCAGGAAGTTCAGGAAACTTTCCCTTGCATTGGAAAGACTCTTAGAATTTGGGGAGGGAGAGAGGGGGAGAAAAAGATGCGTTTGGGAACCAGCAGTGCCTGTGAGGAGAAATCCAAAAACAGGTGTTCAGAAAAGACAGCTGTAAAGAAAGGCTGTTCCTTGGTGTTTACAGTTGTGCTACTGCACGGCGCTTATGTTGTAAGAACATAGATCCAGGGAGCAGTATAAGGAACAGTGGTTGCTGAAATACGTAATGAACAAAAAGTAATTACACGTGTACTTAAAGATGCAGATTAAAATCATAGAATCATAGAATCATAGAATTTCCCAGGCCGGAAGGGACCTCCAAGGGTCATCTAGTCCGACCTCCCCGCAGTCAGCAGGGACACCCCCAACTAGACCAGGTTGCCCAGGGCCTCGTCGAGCCTCTCCTTGAATATCTCCAGGGAAGGGGCCTCAACCACCTCCCTGGGCAACCTGTTCCAGTGCTCCACTACCCTCACAGTAAAGAACCCCCTTCTAATCTCCAATCTAAATCTGTTCCCCTCCAGCTTGAAGCCATTTCCCCTCGTCCTGTCACTGCAGGCCTTTCTAAACAGGTTCTCCCCAGCCTTCCTGTAGGCTCCCTTCAGGTACTGGAAGGCTGCTATTAGGTCTCCCTGGAGCCTCCTCTTCTCCAGGCTGAACAACCCCAGTTCCTTCAGCCTGTCCTTGTAGCAGAGGTGCTCCATCCCCTTGATCATCCTTGTGGCCCTCCTCTGGACCCTCTCCATCAGGTCCATGTCCTTCTTGTATTGAGGGCTCCAGACCTGCACACAATACTCCAGGTGAGGTCTCACCAGAGCAGAGTAAAGTGGCAGAATCACCTCTCTGGACCT